TTATTTGCAGTCTGAACTCCAACAACATTAAGCAAATGTGTATAACAGGGTACAAATGTAGCTATATTATTAACTTTCATTATGAAAGTCTGCATACCATTGTATTTGTTTGACATATTTGCTACTGCATCATAACTTTGCCTCCTTAAATAGAGAGGTTGCGGCTGACGTTTTCAACGCAAAAACGTGTATGTCGGACGTTCACTTTCCTATAAGCCTAGAAGTTTGACAATGGTGTTTGGATAGTCAGTGGAATCATGCTCAATGTCCCAAACACCATTGCCAAACTTCTAGGCTTACAGGAAAGCAGCGCTGAATGTCTGACGTACACATTTTCGCGTTGAAAACGTCAGTCTCAACCTCTCTATTATTTAACATCAAATCCGTGTTCATTTAATTTGTTCAAAATTTCATTAGCAAGTTTTTCTCCTGTCTTTTCTATCAAAGAAATAAAATCTAAAAATATTTCTTTACTAATAACAATTTTGTTGGTAATTTTCACATAATGTATTATCTGGCAAATTTGTTTGTTATGTGCAATGTCTGGTGTACTATCTACTATTATACTGTAATACTTTGCAGTTTTAACATCCTTTATAGAAATATTTCTTAATTTGGTAGCTAATAAAATTAAAAATTAATTTTGAATTTGAGAATTTAAATGTGATACTTGTTTTAGGTTCTTTCACTTAAAGTAAGTTTTAAAGTAGAATTGTAATTACTGATAAGTTGTATCAGATTAATAAAACTTTCTTTTTTTGAATTTTTTATGCCATTACATTGTTCTCAATACTTCCTCTTAAAGGCAAATTGTTAGTTGCATAAAACATTAAATATTTTAAAATAATTTTAAGAATATGCTGCCACTTTCCTATTTCTTCAGATAATTGCTTTTGTAAATTGTTGTCAGGCTGCCAGATTTACCTTTGAAATTTTTTGAAAATTTTTTATATTTGATAACTATAATGTGATCTGTTGATGATTCATGATTTGGAATTTGTGGATTTAATTGTTTCCATTTTGAAAATTCTAATTCTGGTTTACTAAATAAAGATGATGAATTTTTGCTAATAATCAAAACTATAAAAATATGCCAAAAATATTTTTTAGGTCTTAGACCATTTTCAATTTTTAAAAAGAAATGTTTTTAATAATATATTTAGCAGTTAAAAATCTCAATTTTTGTGCTTATAAAAATTTAGTGCCTACGGCCAGGTCACATTGTCCATAGCCTCACTATGCCTCTGCCTCAATGTCATGCTGTCCCCTCGTTAGCATGACATTGATAGAAAGGGCAGAAAGAAGAAAGGGCATGACTTTAAGTTTCTGCAACTTTCCTGATGTAGTGGTCACTGTTGAGATTACCCTCAACTTGTAGCAGGCAAGATTGTGAATGGTATCCAATGATGTCTTACACCATCACATTTGCTGTTCAACCAGTACAACACTTTAAAATGCATGCTGGAAGATGGCATTTACCATGATAGCTTCTAATGCATGTGTGGTCATCATTGTGGTCCAAGTTAAATCAAGACTCGTCTGAAAACATGATTTGTTGCCAGTTGGCATTGACTCTATTCATGACTTCATTGTAGCCTGAAATAGCAATGCTTTATGGTTATGGAAATTACTGCAAAGGAATGCAGGGATGCTTGCAACTGCTCTCCTTTAAAGCAGGCAGCGTCAAACTGTGCTGGCAGACAATGCCACATCTGTTGTAGTGCTCCACTGCTGCACTAACACTTGTAGTGATGCAGAATGGTCTGTCACTGACATACAGAAGAGGTGTCATCAGTTTTTGGTTCACTGTCCAATTTTCAATGTATCTAGTTCTCTTCCATCCACTGTGTCCATACATTCCTCACTGTCATGGCATTATGCTCTGTAAAGGCAGCAATGTTGTGGTATGAAAATTCTTCCTTACTTGGACAAATCATGCATAAAGGAGGATTTCCATATTCAAACTCTGTTTTTTCTTCGTATTGCACCTTTCATCAAAGTGTGGAAAAAATGGATACAGTGAATTTACATCAATTTTTAGCCACTTTTAGAATATTACCATGTTAAATAAAATGTTTGAATTTCTTCTAAAAACTGTTGGTAATCTTTAAAATTTTAAATGCTTTTATTTAACTTACTTCATATCATGTTTTCAAATCTTGAAACTCAAATTTCACCCACTTCTAATTAAAATGGAAGACCAAAACTTTGAGGACATACCTAAGTCCAATGACAATGCATTTAATGATGTTTTAGCATCCTTACCATTCTTCCCATCCCAAAATTTGATAAACATTGCATAGTTGTTTAGCAAATGTCTGTATAAATGCACTGTAGTGATGTACATTGTGGTGGTGAGGTAACTCCACCATTCCTTATNATAAAAAAAACATTAGATGAAAATAATATTTTGGAAAAAACTATTAATATTTATTCATAAAATACATTATGTATATTGGATGATCCAGAAGTTGTGCAAAACTTTAAATATGATATTTTTCTGCATTTTGACACTAGTGCAAAATGATTTTACAGAAATGCACAGAATTACATGGGATTTTTTTCAAAGGGAGATAGTTTCAGTAGCGTAGCGTAGTGGGGGCGGCCTGCCCCGGACGGCACTTTTTAGGGGGCGGCAAAATTTCACAATAAATAAGAATATCTTGTAAGAATTTGAATCGTTTTATTTCATATCTTTGTCCACCTACGATTCGGACCGATCGAAATAAGCACGGAATAGTGTTACCATCCAGACAGTCCGGGAATCGACTAACCATGCATTACCTGTCAACCTTTTTTTTTTTCGCTTGTACGAATTATACACCTTTTATACACCTCCAATATCCAATAGAGCTAAGTCACTTGCATTACTCCTATCCAAGTCTCCGTATTCACTAACTGTAACTGATTTAGAACCAGCAAGCACTGCACATTATTCTTCGCATTGCAAAATGACATTCCGTCAGGATCTTCTGTTCGAACAAACCTCACCTGCCGTGCGGGTCAGCGATTTTAAAAAGGTAGCAACATTAGCACGGAATTTTTTATTACTTATTCTGTGATGAAACTGAATTTTAGTCTTTTAAATTGAGATACCTAAATAAGGGGGACGAAATTTTCCTCTGCCCCAGGCGGCTGACACCCATGCTATGCCACTGGATAATTTATTTAAAAATTTTAGTTACAGTTACGATCTCTAGATTGCACCACAGTCAAATTTTTAATACTGTTGATAACTGCACTATTAATTACCTCAGTACAACTACCTTTGCTTTGGTCAAATTTTAAATTTTGTATAGCATGTACATTTTACAAGCTTGCACAAAGTAATTTATAAATATTCAATATAGTTCCCAATATACACAAATACAGCGTGTAGGTGAGACAAGATGTAATGAACAGCACTAAACAGCATTTCTGTTGGTATGGTTGAAACATGATGCTGGTTAGTCTTTCAGCATGGTCAATGAAATTTAGTCATCTCAGTAATTCTGTAATGTCATGTAATCCTGTAACAAAAAGTCACAAAGTTGTAAGGTTTAGTGATACAGCAATACAGAATGTCTGATTGTGTGAACAGAGTTTAGGAAAATTAAAGCAATTCTGGAATAACTATAGTATTCAATACAAGAAATAATAATAATATGGCAATAGCCGAAAAAATGTTGAAATAAAATGGCTTAGCTAAGAAGCCATTTATTGCAACATTTTTGCAGACATTTATTAAGAAAATTTGAAAAGATGCAGGAAAACTGTGTTTTAAAAGTGAAATTGGAACATTAGTTACTTCATTTCTGTTCAGTTCAATCATTTGTTATATTACTGTCTACTTACATTATTGTGTGTTTACAGTAGGAAAAGTTTGTCTCACTTATCAAACCACGGTTTTGATTTTTACATAAAACCAAAACAGAGCTTTAAAAGGAAACAAAAAAGAAAATCTGTTTTTATTTCAAAAAACTCTTTTTAAATATAAATACAGAAAACCTACTGGTGTTCCAATTAAGACTATCAAATGGTAAAGCAGAGTTTGTCTTATAACCGAGTCTGTTTTAATCAAGATAGAAAGTTCAGTTGGTTAAAGAAATTTTTATTTGCTTTGTATTTCCAGAATAATCCTGAAATGTATAGAAGGTTTTCTGCATTTATATTACATTAAAAAGTTTACAGTGTATAAAAAAAGTATAAATATAATATTTATATTATATTAAGCCTGCCATAGTGAATTAGTTTCTCAATTATTGTATAAAACTTTTTTTTGATACTAATGGTTAAAATTTCATGTCAGTTTGAATTAAAATGAAATATTCACTTTTTCACCTGCAGGAAAAATTTGCAAATTAATAAACTGCATTTAAAAATTTTTACTGAATTGACTCAATTAAATAGCTAAATAGAAGTTATATCATAATTTTATACACATTATTTTTTTCATTTTTTATATTTTTTTATAGATTTACTATACAGGGTTTTCAAAAGTAACATATGAAATGTTGCTTTATCGTAAAGCATACATAAGAAAGGAAATCAGGATATCCTATGAGATTTAAGATGTCAATTGCAAAACAGTAATGACATTAGCAAACATCTGGCTTTAAAGCATGTTCAAGCTTTAAAGCCAGATGATCTGATATGCATGTAATGTTAAATGTTTATGTAGAACATCATGTACTGTCCATCGTGGGACATGCAGTTTTTAAGTTGCTTCGCAAACCAGTATTGTTGGGCTTCACTAAAACATGGTTTTGATGTTGGTGACTGTCGGATTTGAGCTTCAAGGTCTACTGACAACTTCTGTTTCTGTTCACTACTAATCTCTAAAAAGATTTTCATCCAACTTTTGATAGAGTTTATATATGGTGGATCTTTTTGTATATGGTTCAATACTTTTGCTTCACAGTTTTCAGTGATTTTGACTCTGACACTTAAATAACATTTGCCATTTTCTTTTCAAATGCTTCTATCTGCATCAACAATAGTGGTCTGTTTTTGAGATGCAAAGAAAAAACTTAAAAGGTTTTGCTGACAGTTACTGAAAATTACATGTTAATCTGATTTCCTTAAATACATAATACTTTTCATAAACCATTGCTTCTTTTCAGAAACCCTGTAGAATCTGATCATTATCCATAAATGAACTAAATTACACAATTATTACACTTCAAAATTAGAACTATTGGTTGCTTTTTATCTAGATAATTTATTATTTATAAGTTTTGTTGTAAGATTATTAATGTAGTATTCTTAGATTGCAGAAAGCGATTGGTTTAAAATACGAAGGTTCCACACTCTATTTATTGGGACTTTTATACTGGAATACATCAAGAACTAAAGAATCTTTTGACTATTTTATGAAGGTGATAATATTAGAAAGAGAAAATTATATAATTTAACATTTAATATCAATATTTAAAAAAGTAAATTTATTTTTGAAAAATATCATATAGATAAATTATTTTTATAAGCTGAGATATTTTAAATAGTACAGTGTTGTTTTAACTATAGTGGATTTTAAATACTTTCATATATAAGTTAATATTTCTAAAATATAAACTATAATTAAGTTTAGCAAGTCATATTTATGATGATATGAAAGATTTTAATATCTTGTTAACTATCTTGTTAATACCTTGTTGTATATAATAGTTAAAATATCTATATGATTTTGAAAATATGATGTGCAAACCATTTTTATTAATGTGTGGGTGGAATGTATTTTACTTGAAGGGTGCCTAATGGTATGCTGGACTAAGTCAAGGCATAGCTACAGGGAAAATTATTTTGTTTATGTGCTATATGTGTATGTATTAGTTTTTAGGAATTTCTTGACTATATAACACATGTTTAACATGGCAGCCTTCTTTAATGTGATGTATGTTCTGTTGTCAAGCCTAATGTTTCTAGACTTCTGTATAGTGTGTGTGATATGACATCTGTGCAAGAAAATTGTGCCATTCTAAAAAAAAAAAACACTCAGATATTTTTATACTTTTTATTTCAAAAAATAATACATTTTTATAATAATTTTATTTTTCAAGCTTTCCTTTGAGCAAAATTATCAATTCCTAATTGATTTTCTCCAGTAATATCTGAATTTACAATTTATAATGAACAAAGACAATTATTCCAGAACAGTTTTTAAAATTCACATTTTAGAACAAGATAAATTTTGAGAATGCACAAGCTGGTTCTTAAAAATTATACAAGAAATCCTTGTTAATTTGAACTCGGATAGTTTGAAATCCCATTAGTTTATAACTGTACTATTTGTCCAGGCTGGAGTATAGAGATTTACACATTAAAGAATTCTGTTAGTTCGAAATATGGCTACTTCAAAATTTGAAGTGAAAATTCCGTCCAAACTGTGATATGCATATGTTAACTCATCCATTTATATCGAAATGCCTCCATACTATAAGAGATCAATAGATCAAAAATAACTATAATTTGGTCAATATGGCTTCACTTTTACAGCAACACATTTTCAGATATCAACTTACTCATGGACTACCCTTTATTCTCTTCTCACAAAATACAGCTGTGTTTTGAGATTGCAAGATTGAGCTACAAGTAGTGGATTGAGATATTTGTAGGGCTCTAGGCTAGTACATTTGGGCAACTTACTACTTTTTAGGCCACTTTAAAAATAATGTGGGCTACAGTTTGAGAAATTTTGCTTTACTTTTTATAAAACCTATCTGGTAACCTATACTTTATTTATATTATTAATTATTAATGAAAATAGCATTCTGTATTCCTTGCTGTATTCCACTTGTTTAATAAATTACATTAGTTACATGGCATTTGCATATTGTATAGCAATATGTAAATCTTGGATAATTCGAAACTCGATAATTTCAAGTTGAGATTATTTTGTCTTTTAAATTTTGGACTAATGAGGATTTCCTGTATATACATAAAAAATGGAACAACATTAATAATATATATTAATATTGTTTCACTAATAATATAACATAATAATATATTTACTTTTCATGATATTATAATGTTATATTTCAAATAACATTCAAATATTGCTTATGGATATTTTTTTTGAGGGGAGTCATTTTCTGTTCATTTTGAAAATAAGTAGCAATTTTGTTAAATCGATACAAAATTAAAGAAATTGATACGTATAACCCAAGTTTTATATAAATTTATTTATTCAAATATAAAATTTAATGTCGATAAATTAATTTTATTACAAAACTAGCAAAGATATCTTTCATTACTCAAGAAAATTTTACATTACACATTGTAGAAAATTTTAAAAAATGACAGCTTAAATTCAAAAATAATTTTTATTATAAAGCAGATTGATATACGTATTTAGTATTGGGGTAAAGTTAATACGGTTTTGTTATTATGAAGGAAACAATGGTCAGTTAGCTTAAAACGTCCATGAATACTTTGTATCTTTGGAGGTATGTGCACAAATGAAGCTGAAAACCAGATGTGAATTCACTTATAGAATGACTTATTTGTCAGTCATTTCACTCAACCATTCACTCTCACTCATTTAAAAGTACTAATTGATTCAAAAAGTGAACTCATTGTGTGACATTTCAAAAGCTAAGTATGTTTGAAAACTTGATCTAGGACTTACTATTAAAAATGTAACAACATAAAGTTAACAGTATAAAACAACCTTCATAAACCCTTGTACTTGTCCTGTACTTGTTCACAGTGTGATGTTCAATAGTGCTCTAAATGCTATAGAATGCCATAATTTTGTCAATCAGCTATTTAAGCCACTGTTTGTAGATAGGGCTGTTTTTTCAGATAAAAGGTAATAGTTGACTTTCTTCTGAATAAGAGAAGGTGATTTTTGGAAAGTTTGGTTGCATTTGCTATATATACTAATAGAAAAATGTTATTCATTTTCACTCTCTGTAACTGAGTTGTTAAGACTTAAAATGTTCTCTAGAGACATATCTATATCTAGAGTATAGAATAAGTCTTAATAATTCAGTTACAAAGAGTGAAAACTAATGTTGAAACTAATTATTAAACTAATTGTAAAACTAATTGTAAAACTAATTACAAAGAGTGAAAACTAACTTGTTCTCAGAAGATCTTGACAAATGTTTGGGATGGATCCCACCTACATCCAACAATTATAAAAGGTTTGTTGGAGCACTGTTTAGCATAGCCAAGAAATGTATACCTAGAGGATATCGCAAGATTTATATCCCAGGATGGAGTGAAAAAAGTGAATCACTATATAGGAAGTTCCTGGAATCTGGTGATCTTGAATTAGGGGATGAACTACTTCATAGCTTAGATGATGCCAGGCGCCTTAGATGGATAAACACTGTACAAAATTTGGATTTTACAAAGTCAAGTAGGAAGGC